GATGCTACTTAATACCTATATATAATGTCCAAAATTATACGTTACAAACAAACAAAATTGAACGCGTCTTAAGTTCATGTCATTATAATAATTTTTTCTAACTAATATATGTATAGTGTATACTAATATACACGGTTTCTCCTGCGCCTGCTTTTGATTGCGGATTAATATTTCTAAGCCGATATTAAAAGTACTTTCAATACAACTTTCTAAGATGAAGACTATTTATTATCCTGGGATACAAAACATTATAAATATTTTATTATAATATATTTTCTTCTCATATTGTTAGTCTGTAACCTTCGATAAATGAAACACTGTTTCCTGAATTGTACTTAAATTAAAAAATAATGTTCATAAAATTAAACTTACAATGGGACTGGCCTATATTCTAAATCAAATCTTGGAACCACAAGAGGGTCCATTCCAGCATCAATAATATTTTCTTGGAGTTGCTCAATAGCTCTTCTAATTCGCCTTTCTATAATATTCCCTACTATGATACGTGCATCCCTTTGCGCTGTAAAATATAATATTAATATTTTTTTATAATAACATATTTATTTTTCTCTGCACTTTCTCTTTCTGTCCCGCTACTTAACACTATTTCCCACATACATGGGTTGACTGGAAGAGATCTCTTATAGAGATAAGTCCACCTTTGTCCACGTCTCTTTCAATGTATTTTTTTTGACTACTTTTTTGTGCAATAAAGAATATAATATATATTATCACGATTAACATATAAGATTATAATTTAACATTAAAATTAGATGACGTATATACTGTTAACTATAGCACTTAAATAACTAATAAATACAGTAATTAAAATACAATTTTTGTTTACAAAGGTGGACTTATCTTTAGAAGAGATATCTTTCAGCCAACTTATGCCAGTGAGAAATAGTGTTATGAGGCAGGCTAAAATTATGCAGTTGTAGTCATATAAATAATATACAGATACTCAAAAATAAATAGCTAATTAATTTTATATATAATATTATACAATATATACTACATAACATACCAAACATAATTATGTATAATCATACATACATACTATTACTTACATAAATACATCTATATAATACAATAATAGTAATTAAGATAATTTTGAATTTAATTAAGTGAGAAAGTGCTGTTTTAAGTTCTTTTTAAAAGAATTAATAGAGGGACTAAATTGTGTGTCTTTAGGAAGTTTGTTCCAATGCAATGCATCATGCACCAAAAAAGCTTGCAAAAGGTACTTTGTGTTGCTTTTGGGTATTTCGAGCATCACAGTGATCCAAAGCCGCCTAGAACGTGAGAGTCGTAAGATTTATGTATTTATGTAATAAATGCTATGCTAGCAGTCTTATAAATCACCTAATTATCACCCAAGTATTATATATAAAAATCAGCTTTTATACTATAACGTAAGTAGAATTGTGATTTCATGAAAAGGGTGTCTGGCAAGGGTTTGCCACGATGTTAAGTGTCTGGCATTGAATGACGTGATTTTTAATAATATTCTGAAGGTAATACCAAAAAATCACACTTTATTATTTGACGAATTTAGATCGGTATTTTGCACACCTTTAGTACCGTGTACCTGCCAAAGCCACTATAGCCTGAACTTCATAATGGTCCATCGTTCTTATCTGTGTTGGGAGCATGCGCTGACAAACTTTCAGCTTTTATAAAATGACGAAGGTCTGGCGTTCACAGGCTCTTAGGCCATTACAAATAGTGTTTACCCCCAAAATTACAAAATGATTTCAAAAATATGAAAATGACACCATAGTTTAATCACCAAAATTTGTTAATTTAAATTTAAAACATTTTTTTATAATTTCAATAAGAGCTATAATTGAGAAATATTTTGAAAAATATTTCCATATTCTATTAAAGTACTAAAGTGTCATTTTTATATTTTTTGAATTATTTGGATCGGCACTGCTACAACTATATGAACCTTTGAGACGTGTTAAACCTTAGTGTCTCGTGTGACCATGATTGCTGTAAAGCATTCGAAACGTAAGGAGCCAAAAATCAAAATAAATTCGCGAAAAATATGAAAAGATAATTTTATTTAAAACGATACAAATATATGCTAATGGATAAGAAAAAAATAATTGTACAATACTCACGATCTTCAAATTGGGGAAAGGCGAAAGCCCCTGCAATCACCAAAAAGAGGACGAACACGGAGTTCTTCATTTTGTTATATAATTAAGCTGCAACATACATAAAAAAAGATTACGAAAAATCTCTGTTTATTGATTAAAATAATCATATTAAAAATAGATATTTAGTTCCAATACTGACATAGTAAAAGAAAAATCTTTTTAATAGTCTATTGTGGATTTAAATGCTCATGAAGTTAAAGAAATATTTCAAGGCATTATGGGACAATAAAAAATATTCTGTACATTGAACACTACATTATATTTAAAATTTATCATTGTGGAGTATTCCTGTTATGTACAGATCGCTTTCGTTCTAAATATATATATAAAAAAAATTATATAATATTATTAAACCAACGTATGTTACTTACCTCGTAATAACAACAATAACAAAATTTTAGGATCGAAATTAGGTATTTATACTTATTGAAAATAAATGATTAAATCTTAATGTAATTATGTGATAAAATTTTAATAGATATTTATTTTATCTTTTTATTACACCCGACCACCTAAAAACTTGATATTTCATTAGTAAAAATTACTTTACATTCTTTATAATAAAAACACTAAAAAAGCATGTCCTGAATTTATCGATTGGCCCTCGTCGCGAACTAAAATGTATTTGAAGAGTCAAAATAATGATAGGGGAGCGGAAGCGGGGATTTTATGTTTTACTCGAGTGCATCAGAAAATCACATGGGGAGAAACCTTGTACCCTGTAATGTACAACTACCATATATGAACCCTTAATATAGAGGGTTGCGTTGAGGGCAGCCCGTCAGATTAGTAAAAAACATCGATCCTGAGAAAACCTCGTGCGCGTCAGATTAAGACAAAGTAAGTTAAGTACATGCAGAAAAATGTATGTTTCAATATATAATCTGACAATTTGAGCGTGACATAAGGAAATGGGGGAGTCACAAAGTTGTAAAAAAACGTCACCGATTTTTTTTATTATGAAGAAAATCCTATCAGGACGAAAAACGTTGATCTGACGATTTTGATGGGGCGATGTAGCTAAAACCATCAATAAAGGATGAAGCGTACAGATGCTGAAGACTGAATATTTTCCACTCCGCGTCTCTCTTTCCTTCTTCTTTCTTTCTCTATCTCTCACTCTCTCGCACCGTCCCCACACTACCGGCTGCCGCCATGATGCCATCTCAGCTGATCACAATGACGTGTTCTTTTTTAAAGATTGGTTAGGACCGTTTTTTCTCAGGATTAGTTAATATTAATATATTCGTCTGGCAATATTATACTATTGTAACTAATACTTCAATAATGATGATATTTACCTCAGGTGTGTCACTCACTACTGTATTCTTGTTCAATATTACTTGTAGTACGTTTGTGACTAAGTATTTAATATTGGAACAAGTATAATAATATAATCTGTGATATTGGTAATAAATGTTATTTATCACTAGCGCCCCCTTAGGTAGTACCCGCGGCTTCGCCCGCGTTCAAACTACTAAAAAAACAAACTCTTTGCTACACCGACAGCACCACCACCTACCGAGTCTAATTGTATTTTCAAACCATCCAGGAGCCCTTTGAAATATACACGCAAAATCATATCCAAATCGATCCAGCCCTTTAGGAAGATTGAGGTGACAAACACACGTACATCAGAATTATATATATTCTTATAACTTCTTATATATATATATATATAAGAATAGTTATAAGGTATAAGGTATAATAGTTATAAGGTATAAGGTATATATATAGTTATAAGGTAATAAATAAATGTTTAGGTACATTATGATTTTTTTTTCAAATTGTCAGATTAACAATATCCCTCCATATTATTTAGGAGTATTAATCAAGTTGAAGTTGAATATCCGAAAATAACATTAAAAATTTATGTAATAATATAAAAAATGTTTTAAAAGACAACAAATTCGAAAGTGCATATTACAAGACTTTCGCGATACCATTCAGACAAAGAGATACAATAGCATTCCCAAGGAGGGTTGACGTCAGGCAGGCGGCCGGTCGTTAAACTTTTGCCAAATCCTATCAGCGGTACAGAAGATGTACTTTTTTTTTTTTCTTTTTTTTTTTTTTTAACGTTGGGAAATGCATTTACGCACGAAGTGTGGGACTCACCGGCGAAGCCAGTACTACCCACTAAAACCCAACAAAACCTTCCCCCGTCTTAATGGGGCGTCGCAGGATCGCTTACGCATTCAACTACGACGCCCCGACGGCAGGTCTGCCGAAGCAGACCACAACAACCATGGGGTTGCTCCACGGTCGACTCTGCTATCAGAGAAGTACCAGGAGCAACCCGCATGGTATACCACCCTCCGAAGAAGGCCGCCTCCCACCGCCCACCGAAGCGGGCCACCTCCCTGTGCGTTTCTTGGCTTCGTGAGTACACTACTGAGCCCCCCCACCACGACAAGGTGAACGCACGTTGGGGGGGACAGAAGATGTACTGCGCCGACCCCAAGTGATTAGGAAATGGGCAGGACGAAGAAGAATCAAGTTGAACCGTCTGTATAAAAATCTAACGCGCTCGAGTATTTCATGGTCACTTTATTAAAAAAAAATTAAAATCGGTCCTGACTTTTGGTCACGTCCAAATCATCAGTCATTTGAATAGGACAATTTCTTGAGTTCACTTAAAATTCCCTCTGAATATCTGACACGCTCGAATAACTATTTTTTCGGCTCCTTTTTACGGCCACCCCCCACTAGCTAATCGTCAGATTAATATCTCTCGGTTATCAGAAAGACAAAGCGCGTATACTATGAATGTCTGACGCGCTCGAGTATTTTCTGTATATACGAGTATAGTATGTAACTGTTGTTTTTTTACATTTTTGAAAATTTGTACACGCTCTCCCCTCCTCCTCTCCTCTCCTCCTCTCCCCTCCTCCTCTCCCCTCCTCCTCTTCCCCTCCTCTCCCTTCTCTAAAATGGAAAATGTAACTTAATGTTATATTTTAAAACAGTATTACATAATAATTTTTAATTCGATATTACTAACAAAATCATTAACAATAACATTACGAGTATAAGCAATAATATTTATGCTTCTTGGCATATCCAAATAATAGAATCATTAATAGGTAATATGCGTATGCTTTAAATAAAGGTGAATTTTTTTTTCTTATAATCTTTATTGCTTCTGAATTAAGCCTGTATCGATATTTTTATTATAATATCTTTTTCATGAAGGAAATAATTATTGAAAAGTCCAAAAATAGGTGGGAAATCCAAATTAGTTAAAACACAACGCCATTGGTCAAACCGCATATGATGTCAAAGTTTACTAGAGCGCTGTTGTTTAGTGTTTGCGATTGGTACTGACAATCTAGACGTGTTCATTTTTTGATTGCAGTTATATCATATACTATAACGTCACGCCAAGCGCATCAAATATTGGCGTTTAAGTATCCGTATCTGTATTAGATTATTAAAATTTTAAGTACTAAATTTTAGTTTTTTAGAGCTGGATATTTGTTTTCAAATCATATAACGATGTATGGGGCCATTCAAGTATTAACCCCTTGCTACTCCTTGTTAGCAAAAATAAGCGAAGTTCTTACTCCCCCTCCTATGTTTACGTAAGCATTGGTACATATATTTTTTAATCTGTTCAGGTTTCTTATTGTTATTCATAAACTGCAGCTATCATCCAGTCTAGAAATACGGTATTTATAGGCTATAGGGGAATTTAAAGTACATTTATTGTATTTTGATTGGACGAATCGAAATTATTAAATACTGCAGAAAATCCATAAAATTAAATAAATAAATATTGCTGACGTAAATACCATCTAGAGAGACCCCCCCGTCCCCCATGTCATAAAAAATAAGCAAAGCAAAGGCCCCTCCGCCCCCCTTTGGTGCTTACGTAATATTTAAATGGTCTCTATGCTGATCATCTGAACGCGGGCGGAGCCGCGGGCAATGCTAGTACATACATATATGTATATGTGCTAGATTATAATCATCCTCTAAAGATTTTCATCATCGTACACCATAATAAGTAAAAAATTAAGAGGGTTAATGAAAATAAAACAAATACAGATATAGATATATTTATACATTGCTAAAATTACAAAATATCATCCAAAATATCACGGACGAAGGACTCAAGAAATCGGTTGATTGGTTCCTGAAACAAAAAAGGCTTCTTAAAATTTATGCCTAATATATAATTAAAATAAGAGGGACTTAATCTAATTACAGTAAGCATTATCACTTCTGTAAGTGACGCATTTATGTTTTTTTTTTTTTTTTGAGATAAGTCAGAGGACTGTAATGGCTACTTTTAACTGAGGCAATACGTTATGCCAAACCTTATATTATTTAGTTATGTTTACGTAGGGACGAATTCAAACTAAGCAAGGGTGCATCATTATTTGCTAAATAAGAAATAAGAATAATCTCTTGAAGATGCCACAGTTTGCTAAAAAACTTTCTTTATAAAACTTCAATAAACTTTGGTATATACTTAATTATTTCATACTATTTCAAATAAAACTATCTTTTCGGATTATTGGGCGGGGTTATTTTGATTTTTGGTTCTCGGCGTTTCGAATACTTTACAGCAAATTGTACTAGTACTATTTTTATTATACTAGTTTTTGCCCGCGGCTTTGGGTGGGGTTCAAGTATAGACTATTTCCAATGCCACGATGCTATCTATATACTTGCCAAATTTCATCAAAATTTGTTCAGCAGCTTAAGAAAAGATAACCGAAAGAGTTACTTTGACATTTCCATACATATAAGAAAATTTTAACAGAGTTCAATCTGTACATTAAATATTTTTTGGAAAATATTATTGAAATAGTCATTAATAACGAAACAGAGGCCAAATCTATAATTTTTAGAACTTTTGTTTGTCTGTCTGTAACCACATCACGAAAAAACCACTAGACAGATTTTGATAAAATTTGGTATAATGATAGCTGGTTATCCAGGTCAACATGCTGTAAAATATCTCATCTCTGAGCTAAACGTTAAAACGTAACTAGGGACGAACCCGAACGAAGCGAGAGTGAGTTGCTAGTATTATATAAGTAAGGATTATGAAAAATAGATTAAAGGAATTTATTCAAAGGATATAATAGTAGAGTTAAATAAAGGAAATGAGGATATTTCAGTAATAATATTCTTACCCTGTTTTCAGCTACAGCAGCAGGAATATCTTCCCCAAGAACTTTGTTTACGATGTCGGAGAAATCTTCTCCCATGAAAACCACATTGAGGTCGGACTAAAAATGCATTTTATTTTATACTTTAAATAGTTTTATTATTAAAAAAACAATGAATCATTGTTGATTAATAGTAAATTAAAAATAATTAGAAATAATAAATTATAATTAAATAAATAAATAATAAAACATGTTGGGACATTAACACACAGCACCATCTAATCTAAAAATCATCTCCATAGTAAGCTGCGGCTTGTGTTATAGATATCAGATAGTTGATACACTATACATATATAACTTTAAATATATACATATTATAAATATAAACATCCTTGACTAGAATGCAAACATTCGTGCTCATCACACAAATGAATGCCTCTGGCACAGCAAGTAGGGTCTCTACAAACTGAGCCAAACGTGTCGTCAAATAAGTTTGAATTTACGAAAATGTGTATACTGTGGCTGGACAGATTTGCTTGAAATTTGTACCTCTCTGGGACGAACTCAGGCTCAGTAAGTTGCTTGTAAGATATGTTTTATTAAAATCTTAAAATATTTCTTACCTGGATGCCTCCGAGAGTAAAATCAAGGGTGAGACTGCGAATGCTAATGCCAGAGATAATACCAATATTCACGCGGACTTCACCGTCGATACGAATACCCGAGATGGATAGGCTATAAAAGATACGAATAATATTAATTTTCTTGTACATATTATGTTTTAAAAACTTTCAAGAAACACAATTTAATCAATTTTTTCTTCTATTTCTAACAATTCCCCAACCGTATAGAATAATTGGGTTATTAATATAACCTGAGATGAGTATACATTTATGTGTAATAATTGTATATTGTAATTTTAGTCCGTATGTTGAAGTTTTTGTAGCAACTAACTATACCTTATTACTAACAAGTAATAAGGTATAGTTAGTTGCTGTTCCAACCGGCTAAAAACTTATTTCAGCTTGAACCGATATATTCTTTATTCATAAAATGACCAAAGTAAAAGATCTCTTAGAAGTGTATTTTTAAAAGCATAAATGACCATTTTAACATTTGAAATAACAATTTATCAATTTTCATACAAAAATAACAGAATTTTAAATAGTTATTCTGAATGATAAATACTCTATGTAGTCGGAAAATAAAACCGAGAAAATATAAACAAATAGAGACCTTTCCTACATTTTCAGGGGAGATGACTCTATAAGCAAGACATATGTACGTTATCTATCTACAACACTTTACCTGCCATGTAATTGTCCGTTGTATCTGTTTCCTAAAACTATAGCAGTAACTCCGGAGTCACCTGAAACATAAAAAGCAACTTTAAAATAACTAACTTACTTTACTGAAATACGAATGATTTATGCAATACTAGCGACTCACCCTCGCTTCGCTCAGGTTCGTCCCCAGGTCCCCCTCAACGTGCGTTCACCTTGTCGTGGTGGGGGAGCTTAGTAGTACCCGGCAATCTAGCCGGGCGCGAAGTCAAGAAACGCAGAGGGAGGTGGCCCACTTCGGTGGGAGAAAGCCCTCTTCGGTGGGAGGTAAACCATGTGGGTTGCTCCTGGTACTTCTATCTATCTATCTATCTGCTATCTGGTCTCCTGATAGCAGAGTGGACTATGGAGCAACCCTATGGTTGTTGTGGTCTGCTTCGGCAGACCTGCCGTCGGGGTGTCGTAGTTGAATGAGTAAGAGCACACCTCGTGCCTAAATGCATTTCCCAACGTTAAAAATTTCCCAATTCTGGCCAAGTAGAATTATAATAATATATTCAATAAGTTAAGTAATAAGCGTTTTCTGTCAAGAAATTTCCAGCAGCCTGATATAAAAATATTTGCGGTTCTGCTGTTCCCTAAACAGTCAAATCACAGGTCACAGATATTTTCATCCCACCGAAGTTTGAGAGTATAAGCAGTAGAGAGTGCTGGGGTACCGTTTGTCTTTTTATATAATAAAATGCAATATATTAATATAATAGATATAAAAAATTACCAACAACGAAGCTAAGCTCAGGAAGGGAGATGTCGAACCTTAACCTGTTGAAGAGAGCGGAATAGTCCAAATTATGGATTGCGATGTTACTCGCACCAGTGAATTCAAAATTCTCCAAAAAACCTCTGACTTCAAGGAAGCTGTTAAAAAAAATGATACATTATTTAATAAAAATATATAAATTAAAACAGTGTACCTACCTACACATTTTTCTTCAAATCTTAATATGAACAAAGATAATGCTATCAACGAAATAAACAAATTCTTTATCTGACGATCAAAATATAATCGATCCTTGGCTAGATAATTCATGAAATATTCCTTAATATTTTTACTACGTGTCTGAAGACACGTGTCTTATGTCTCATCAAGTTACCTATGTAATCTATACTAATATTATAAGGAGACAGAGTTTGTTTGTTTGTTTGTTTGTTTGTTTGTTTGTTTGAACGCGCTAATCTCAGGAACTACTAATCCAATTAAAAGGCAATAAGCTATATATCATATAGTATATAGTCTATCTATTCCATACTAACCGTTAAAATGAACCTAGGGACGAACCCGAGCGAAGTGAGGATGAGTCGCTAGTTTTGTATAAGTCTGTGATTGTTACTCCTTCACGCCGAAACGACTGGACGGATTTGAATAATATTTAGTACACAAATAGGCTATGGCCTAAATTAGATAGGCTACTTACATCAGTAATGAAATTTGCGAAAAGATGATGCTACCTATATATAATGTTAAGAATACTAAATTGAACGCGTCTTAAGTACATGTCATTATGATTAATTTTTCTAACGAATATTTACGGTTTCTCTAGTAGTTAACTTTTTAATCGATTAATATTAAATTGAATTTAGTTGACTGCTTTTGATTAATTCTTCTAAGCCGACATTAGAAGTACATACTTTCAAAACAATTTTCTAAGATGGAAACTATTTATTGTTCTGGGATACAAATCTTAATAAATATTTTGTTCTCATATTGTAAGTATGTAACCTTCGATAAATTTAACACTGTTTCCTCATTTGTACTTAAATTAAAAAATAATGTTCATAAAAACTTACAATGGGACTGGTCTATATTCTAAATCTAATCTTGGAACCACAAGAGGGTCCATTCCAGCATCTATAATCTTTTCTTGGAGTTCCTCAATAGCTCTTCTAATGCGCCCTGTTATGATACGTGCATCCCTTTGCGCTGTAAAATATAGTATTAATATTTTTTATAATAAACACATCACGATCAACATATATGATTATAATTTAACATTAAAATTAGATGACGTATATATTGTTAACTTTATCACTTTAAAATAAATACAGTAATCAAACTTCAATTTTCGTTTGCAAAGGTAGACTTATCTTTAGAAGAGATATCTTCCAGCCAACTTATGCTAGTGAGAAATAGTGTTATGAGGCAGGCTAAAATTATGCAGTTGTAGTCATATAAATAATATACAGATAATCAAAATTAAATAGCTAATTAATTTTATATATAATATTATACAATATGATGATGATGTTCTCCTGGCCGATTCCACGGCGGCCAATCTCATTGAGACTAGCCAACTGCGCAGGAGATATTTTAGTGCACAAGTGTACGCGCAGATACAAGTGCACTCTTTATTTCTGTCACTCTCATACTCCGGTGGGACGACTGCTCGACACGACCAGTGAGAGTTAAGGCGCAGGACCGACGGCTTTACGTGCTCTCCGAGGCACGGGGGTGAAACACCGCCAACTTCCCAACTCCGGGCTGTTACTAAGACTTACTATACAGAAAGACTCAATAACTTAACTTGGCCCGACCCGGGACTCGAACCCAGGACCTCCGAGTGTGCAGCCGTACATGCTAGCCACTACACCACCGAGGCAGTTGACAATATATACTACATACCATACATAATTATGTATAATCATACATACATACTATTACTTGCATAAATACATCTATATAATACAATACATAATAGTAATTAAGATAGTTTTGAATTTAATTGAGTGAGAAAGTGCTGTTTTAAGTTCTTTTTAAAAGAATTAATAGAAGGTCTAAATTGTGTGTCTTTAGGAAGTTTGTTCCAATGCAATGCATCATACACCGAAAAAGATTGCAAAAGGTACTTTGTGTTGCTTTTGGGTATTTCAAGCATCGCAGTGATGCAAAGCCGCCTAGAACGTGAGGGAGTCGTAAGAATTCGGAAACGAGAACGGAGATTAAAGAGAGGTGAAGGAGAGTTAGGGTCATCATCATATAAAACAAAACAAAAAAATAGTTGGTCAGACGCAGAATAAAGAATTGCAGAAGAATAAAAAGAATTAGTTTATTTTAAAAAAGTTTTATAAAAATTATATCAGTATTATATAATATATATATTTTGTGATAAAATTGATGTAAATATAATACTTTCTTAGATTTCGAAAGACTAATGTTTCAGATATTTTAAATGTCATTATACAGCTGTTACAAATAGTGCCTACCCCCAAAATTACAAAATGATTTCAAAAATATGAAAATGGCACTATAGTATCTTCATCAAAACTAATTAATTTTAAACATTTTTTTATAATTTCAATAAGAGTTATAATTGAGAAATATTTTGAAAAATATTTCCATATTCTATTAAAGTACTTCAATGTCATTTTTATATTTTTTTTAATTATTTGGATCGGCACTGCTACAACTATATGATGACCTTTGATACGTGTAAAACCTTAGTCTCTCACATGACAACGATTGCTGTAAAGCATTCGAAACGTCAAGAACCAAAAATCAAAATAAATTCGCGAAAAATATGAAAACATACTTTCATTTAAAATGATACAAATATATTATATGCTAATGGATAAAAATAAATTAATTATACAATACTTACGATCTTCAACTTGAGGAAAGGCGAAAGCCCCTGCAATCACCAAAAAGAGGGCGAATACGGAGTACTTCATTTTTTTATATAATTAAGCTGCAAAATAGATAAAAAAAGATTACGAAAAATCTCTTTATTTATTGATTTTAATAATAATATTAAAAATAAATATTTAGTTTCCAATACGTCAGAATAGTAAAAGAGATATAGTAAAAGATAAATCTTTTTAATAGTCTATTGTGGAATTAAAAGCTCAAGAAATTAAAGAAATATTTCAAGGCATTATGGGACAGTAAAAAATATTCTGTACATTGAACACTACATTATATTTGAAATTTAACATTGTGGAGTATTCCCATTATATACAGGTCGCTTTCTTTCTAAATATATCTATAAGATATTAATATATATATATATATATATATATATATATATATATATACATATACATATATTTATACATATATTTTTAAACCGACGTATGTTACTTACCTCGTAATAACAACAATAACAAAATTTTAGGATCGAAATTAGGTATTTATACTTATTGAAAATAAATGATTAAATCTTAATGTAATTATGTGATAAAATTTTAATAGATATTTATTTTATCTTTTTATTACACCGCCAACCTAAAAAACTGATATTTCATTAATAAAAATTACTTTACATTCTTTATGATAAAAATACTAAAAAAGCATGTCCTGAAGTTATCGATTGGCCCTCGTCGCGAACTAAAATGTATTTGAAGAGTCAAAATAATGGTAGGGGAGCCGAAGCGGGGATTTTGTGCTTTATTCAAGTGCATCAGAAAATCATATGGGGAGAAACCTTAGACCCTGTAATGTACAACTAACATATATGAACCCTTAATATAGGGGGTTGCATTGAGGGCAGCCCGTCAGATTAGTAAAAAACATCGATCCTGAGAAAACCTCGAGCGCGTCAGATTAAGACAAGGTAAGTTAAGTACATGCAGAAAAATGTATGTTTCAATATATAATCTGACAATTTGAGCGTGACATAAGGAAATGGGGGAGTCACAAAGTTGTAGAAAAAACGTCACCGATTTTTTTTATTATGAAGAAAATCCTATCAGGATTACGAAAAACGTATAATTTGACAATTTTCATGGGGCGATGTAACTAAAACCATCAATAAAGGATGAAGCGTACAGATGCTGAGAACTGAGTATTTTCCACTCCACGCCTCTCTTTCCTTCTTCTTTCTTTCTCCATCTCTCACTCTCTCGCACCGCCCCCACACTACCGGCTGCCGCCATGATGCCATCTCAGCTGATCACAATGACGTGTTCTTTTTTAAAGATTGGTTAGGACCGATTTTTCTCAGGATTAGGTAATATTAATATATTCGTCTGGCAATATTATAATATTGTAACTAATACTTCAATAATGATGATATTTACCTCAGGTATGTCACTCACTACTGTATTCTTGTTCAATATTACTTGTAATTCTGATCTCTGAGTCTAATTGTATTTTCAAACCATCAAGGAGCCCTTTGAAATATACACGCAAAATAATATCCAAATCGATCCAGCCCTTTAGGAAGATTGAGGTGACAAACACACGTACATCAGAATAATATATATTCTTATAACTTCTAATAGATAAATAAGAAGATATAAGGTAATAAATAAATGTTTAGGTACATTATGAATTTTTTTTCAAATTGTCAGATTAACAGGATCAGGAGGAGGTAGGAGGTCAGATTAATTGGAGGGATACCTCCATATCATTTAGGAGTATTAATCAAGTTGAAGTTGAATATCCGAAAATAACATTAAAAATTTATGTAATAATATAAAAAATATTTTAAAAGACAACAAATTCGAAAGTGCATATTACAAGACTTCCGATACCATTCAGACGAAGAGAGACAATAGCATTCCCAAGGAGGGTTGACGTCAGGCAGGCGGCCGGTCGTAAAACTTGTGCCAAATCCTATCAGCAGTACAGAAGATGTACTGCGCCGACCCCAAGTGATTGGGAAATGGGCAGGAAGAAGAAGAAATGAACCGTCTGTATAAGAATCTGACGCGCTCAAGTATTTCAAGCTCACATTTTTTTTACATTTTCTTAAATCGCTCGTGACTGTTGGTCACGTCCAAATCGTCATTCATATGCATAGGACACTTTTTTGAGTTCACTTAACATTCCCTCTGAATATCTGACACGCTCGAATAACTTGTTTTTTCTACCCATTCTTACGGCCAACCCCACTAGTTAATCGTTAGATTAATATTTCTCGGTTATCAGAAAGACAAAGCGCGTATACACTATGAATGTCTGACGCACTAGAATTTTCTGTATATACGAGTATAGTATGTAACTGTTGCTATTTACATTTTTGAAAATTTGTACACGCTCTCCCCTTCTCCTCTCCCCTCCTCTCCCCTCCTCTTCTTCCCCTCCCCTCCCTCCTCTAAAATAGAAAATGTAACTTAATGCTATATTTTAAAACAGTGTTACATTATAATTTTTATTTCGATATTACCAAAGAAAACATTAACAATAACATTGTAAGCAATATTATTCATGCTTCTTGCCATATCCAAATAATAGAATCATTAATCGGTAATATGCGTATGTTTTAAATGAAGGTGAAATATTTTTTCTTATAATCTTTATTGCTTCTGAATTAAGCCTGTATCAATATTTTTAATATAATATCTTTTTCATGTAGGAAATAATTATTGAAAAGTCCAAAAGTAGGTGGGAAGTCCAAATTAGTTAAAATGCAACGCCCATTGGTCAAACCGCATGTGACGTCAAAGTCGTTTACTAGAGCGCTGTTGTTTGGTGTTTGCGATTGGTACTAACAATCTAGACGTATTAATTTGTTGATTGCAGTGTTATAATATACTATAACGTCACGCCAAGCGCGTCAGAATGATTGGCGTATAAGTATCCGTATCTGTATGATATTATTAAAATTTGAAGTACAAAATTTTAGTTTTTTGGAGCTGGATATATTTTTCAAATCATATAACGATGTATGGGGCCATTCACTTACCCCTTGTCAGCAAAAGTAAGCAAAGTTCTTACTCCCCCTCCTATGTTTACGTAAACATTGGTACATATATTTTTTAATCTGTTCGGGTTTTTTATTGTTATTCATAAGCAGCAGCTATCATCAAGTCTAGAAATAAGGTATTTATAGGCTATAGGATAGAATTTAAAGTACATTTATTATATTTTGATTGGACGAATCGAAATTATTAAATATTGCAGAAAATCCATAAAATTAAATATATATATATATTGTTGACGTAAACACCATGCACAGAGACCCCCCCCCCGTCACCCCGTGTCCCATGTCATAAAAAATAAGCAAAGCAAAGACCCAAACAAAGGCCTTTGGTGCTTACGTAATATTTGATTGGTCCCTTTGCTTTTGAATAAAAGACTAATAAAATAAAGTAAGAGCTATCCACGAAAATAAACAAATAGAAAACTTTATTAAATATAACTATTAGTAAGAATGCTGATTAGTATTCATTGTTGATATCATATTGATAGTTGATGAATTAAGGCCAAAATATGTACCTACATCCTGTTTGTTTACTACATGTCGTTTGTTAGTCCTTCTTTCACGTCGAAACGGAGTGACGGATTGGCTTGATTTTTGTGTGGAGATATTTGGAGTGCTGGAGAGTGACATAGGCTACTTCTTACCGCGGGAGATTATCTAATTCAACACGTTATAATACAATCCAAAAAAATATTTATGTTCAGAATTACTTGAAACTTGGTATTAATTCTCTTCAATAAAATTAAATAAATAGTAAATACGTGTTTTAACATTTTTCGAAATTTATCGTATAAGGGGGTTAAATAGGGGATAAAAGTTTGTATGAAACTACCTTTTTAGACATTTTTTGCAGTTTTAGCGCGAGCGAAGCCGCGGGTTCTGATAGTATTATATAATGCTAGCTATCCCAATCTTTTAAGATAAGATGAGATTTTCATCAACATTTATTTGTTTTATCAATCTTGTTTATGTATATGTCAACAACATATAATGTAAATAATACTAGTCTTGCCCGCGGCAACGTTTCCTGCTTTCCATCAGCATTTTATAGAGCGATACCTGTTGACAAGTTCAGAAGTAAAGCATTATTAAAATTAAAATAAATAAAAGCCGACTTCAAAAAAAACACTAAAAAGTAAAAAATAACTGATTGGTAGTTTTCATTTACTATAAATACCTAATCAGATATCTTCGAAGTCGGTGTGCTTTGATTTGTATTGGCTGGCACCAGTCGCAGCTGGCCGATACCAAACCACGAACCAAATGGGAACTATATACTTTCAAACAAAATAAAAATTGTCCAAACCGGTTTATAAATGAGGTAACAAACAAAAAAAAATACAGCCAAATTGAGAACCTTTTTGAAGAAGTATGTTGACAGCATTAAATTATTATACCACTAGCGGCTCATTTCTAGAAAAAAAAAACAAACTTATCCCACGGGAACCGTACATTTTTTCGGAATAAAAAGTAGCCTATGTGTTATTCCACTATAATCTATCTATCTCTGTGCAAAATTTCATCCAGATCTGTTCAGACGTTATGGAGTGAAAGAGTAACAAATATCCATACTCACAAACTTTCACGTTTATAATATTTACTAGCGACTGATCCTCGCTTCGCTCGGGTTCGTCCCTAGCTTGATTCCTCATACAAACTTTCATCCCCATTTTCACCCCTTTAAGGGATGATTTCTGGGATAAAAAGTATTCTATGTCCTTCCCAGGGTCTCAAACTATATTCTTACCTCATCTAAACCGGTCCAGTAGATCCAGAGATTACCCCCTACAACGTCACAAACTCACAAACTTTACCTCTTTATAATATTAGCATAGATGTACAGATATAGGACACGATCTATGTGTGTGCCAAGTATAAACAAAACCCTTCCAAAAGTTAACACATAATTACGTTCTAAAAATCTGAACATCTTCACAAAATGACACATTCGTAATGATAATAGAATTATAATATTATAATAATTTTATTATACTTATTATACGATTCCATTACTATACTTTGTATTGTATTTGATTATATTTAATTTAAGTTCCGTGGTCATGTCAATATACTTTAATTGAACTAAAATTTAGTAATAATTCAGCTTTCTACGTTCCCACTGCTGAGCATATATTTAGGCCATAATATCTGTACATTTGACACTGGTCAAATTGTACAGATATTAGGTATTATATACGTATATTATCATTCAGTTTTCCTCACGATATTTTTTGGCTTTGCCGTATTAGTAAGGTAAGCGATAATCATATTGAAAATTATTGTCATCAAAATCTCAGAGGAGACTACCGGTTTGAACCCCTTTCACTTTCTTCTTGGCCTTACAATTGTGCTAGTTACCCATAGACTACCACTCTTATTGAAATATAAATAAGTTTATTTATTATGTAAATAAAAACTAAATTGTAAAGATATAAATACTGTATAAAAATTAGAAAATATATCAAGCAATAGTTAAAAAATTAAAAATAACATATCCTATTATACTAATAGGATAATATGTTAGATTTAATTATTTTTAGTAACTAGGTCTTGATCTAGATTTGTAGTATTACAAATGATGATTGATCTAGTCTTAATCTATTATTTTTACGTCCAAATATAACATCTCATGTCGATTTTTAACCAAAACAATATTTTAAAACTATTCTGTTACTTTTTCCATTAACAGGGAACATAATTTTCGCATTGATATATTAATAATCATGATATATAATATGGCATCCCGACAAAAACACCACTGAGAAAAAAATCTATAAGATACAATTATTAAAAAGCTACTAACGTTATTCAATTACGAAAAAAAACTCTTTTAGGTCATAGAAAGATTGTACAAAAAAAATATTTTCCCTTTCTCCTGAATTTTCCAAATTTCTAGACCTTTCTGAATTGCCATTGAAATCGTTTCAGTCGTTTTCAAGTAAATCTCAAGTAATTACTAACAAACAACATTTCATTTTTATTATACATAGATAAACTCTTTGTATTAAAAATTAAATTAAACACCATGTTTTATATACAAGCATTTATTTTTATAATTAAACACAAACGTTGCAAGCATTCAATAATGTAATCATAGCACTAATATTAATAACTTACTTGAAAATTTCCTATTAGAATTTAAAAAGATAACTGGAATAAAGTAACAATATAGCGCGTAGGCCTTACTTATCTCATGCTTTCAATAACGCTATATTAGGCCATTTTGAATTGAAAAGGGCGTTGACAGCACTCATATCTTTGTTAGTGATACAGCAATATACACAAAAAAAAATATAACTATCTGGATTATTATAGTATTATAGTTTATACTGGGTATATAGGATTTCTTAAATTTAAAGTTTATTATTCTTTTATTATTATTTTTATGAAAAAAAAATAAGTCATGGCTGTTCACTAACAATGACAAACACACGTGTGCCTTACATTTACAGCAAAGCGGAATTATCAATATTGTGCATAGATCCAACTCCTTTTAAAGAGTTTTAAAAAATGAATTTAGTTAAACGGTGTCTCAAGCTATATGCTAATTATTATAAGAAATTGCAAATAGGAATTGAATTCGGAAATCCTAGTCAGTAAAAGTGATAGAATAATTTCTTCCGTTTAAATACTATAACAGAAAATTGTTTCGATAAAGTCAATCGTGTGATTCCTCAATGTTTTGGCACCTTTCATACTTCGGTCACCATTTTATAAACGACAAAATATAATAAATTATAAGACAACGTGCAAATATGTAAGAAGTAACATCTACACCTACTGGTATCGCCTAAGTGTTATATCAATATATATAAAAGTGAACAAGAGGCACCTATAGGTTTACATACGCAGGTTAAAATAAGCGTAGTTCGTGAAACATCGAACGTGAAACATGAAATACCGACACTAGATTACATTTTCTAACATCAGCCATTATTCGATTGTATAAGCTACTTCGAAAGCTTCATCTGTCCACATTCATAATATATAAATTACGAATCGTTTCAATTATTCGTGACAGATCATAGCAATTGACTTACACAATTCAAATTGTATAATTTACACCTAATCTAAAATAAAATAACAAAAGCCCAATATAGTAGATCTATTAAAATTATTTCACTACATCTCATAAAGTATCGTCTTCCACAACAGGTTATAAGTTTGACACATAGGCACCCGAGTCTTGCCCTCGAATTAATAAGACATTAGAACTTAAATTCGAACAACAAGGAGCCCTACGTTTTATACTAACACTCATACAATATTTACATGAAGGAAATTATATCCGATTAACTATAAATATTTCTCGCAAAAGACGTTACAATTACCATATTGTACTAGTAAGTTGTGTTTTGAATCTTTGAATCGTAGACTCATCTATGTCAATAATACCAATATTCGAAAGCTGAACCGCCACTACAACCGCTAAATTAGAAGTATCGATCCTAAACATTAAAATACTAAAAAAGTATGCTCTAACATACCGAGTATACTACACGCTGTACATTTCTCATCAAATATTAGACCGAGAATTCAATACGTATAGGAGATACGTCACTGGTGTTTTTACACATATTTTATTTATTTATATTCTGCCTTTATTTTTTTTTCTGTACCATTGTGTAGTATTATTTCGAGGTACCAACAGTTGCATTCTCTTACTTCAGTTTTATTTAACTGTTTGATTTTCCAAATATGTTTACAAATCGATCCGTATATATCACGTACAACTTTCTAATATTGGTCCGCTACAGAGTTTTGAAGTGACCTAGCTCATATTCTTAACTTACACTAAGGCTAGAATGAATCTAAACATTTCTATGCCTTGCGTGATATGTATTGCAATAGAGGCGCATTAAAGCTAAGATTTGTATATTTACTACTTATTCCGTTACTTCTTTAACTTTCCAAATTTCTTTTTTGTTCAACTACTTCTTTCTTTCTTTTTTCAAATTTGCTTTCTTATTTTACATATTTTTTCTCTGAAATTTGTCTTCTTCTTTTACTTTTATTAAAACCCATTTATCCTACGCTTGAAAGATATGTAGAGTCTTATTTACTATGACGAAATTACTACTACATATTTCTATAGTTTATTATTAACAAGTGATATGTTGATGGAGGCATCACTCCCATTTTAAAATAGATTATAATATAAACTTCATGAACAATAATTTCCTTAGAATCAAATATGAAACTTAAACAAATCTTGATAAATATAAAGTGGACTTATAGAGCAATTTAACACTTAAGGTGGCTTATAATTAAAGTATATATAATTATTTAATAACTATACATATAAAAATAATTTTAAAATATTTCACTGACTCATTGGACAAAAACTTGTATTAGGCCCACTGTCCATACAAATAGTCTAGCACACTACATACATACGTTCAATTAAATATCTTCGTCATATTTAACTAAAAGAGAGGTAAGCGATGTAGATCTAGTAACTTGATTTGTACGTCAGAATCAACATTCAACACCTTTTATCACACTTCACTTGGGAACAGTGGACCGTACATATAACTCGATTAAATACATACTCGTAAACAACCAATGAAGTTGCAAAAAGCTAAACAAATATCAATAACAAAAGCCAAATTTATCGATTATATTTCTCATTTAAACCCATTATTAAAATAAAGTTAGTTTTAAGCCTGTCAGCGATATAAAGCTTAAACTGATCATGTCAAACGATGGCCGCAGGGAAAATGCAATGTTGGTACAATTATTAGGTGGTTCGGGCTTGCCTGAAAAATAGAAATAGACTTGTTAAACTTTCGATTTATGTTTACAATTAAAAATTACTAATAAACGTAGGAAAATACTTGCAATTAATATTGATTGTGAGTGATTTCTATAGATTACATCAGTGCACAAAATTAGCATGATACCCAAAACTCGAATAATTTTTAGTTACATAGCAGCTAATATTGAAGCGACTGAAACGAAACTTTGCATATCGGGAAGAGAATTTAATTCTATGCCGAAAAAAATGAAGAACAAGTTAAAAATACTGTGTTAATATTTTTAAATTATCTTTTACCGTCTAAGGAAGATTGAGATGAGGGTAATAAATTCTGTTACTGTTGATCAAATGTTTAACCCACCAGTCTACGTTAAATCGACTTCACAGCTCCAATAATAGTAATAAAACGAAAAAAAATGATAGACAAAATATAAAATATTTATTTTTATAGAACAACCTAATATAAAATTAAACACGCTTCATGGTCCTTATAAATTTAGCTAACCATTATAGTTTCATAATGATCATTATGTTACAGACTTTAGATACTTTAAGTTAGCTACAATGGACCATAACTGGTCGACGTAGCTAGGGCCGACCTCGGCACTACACCCAATAGATATAATAATACTTTTAGTTTTTAGTAAAGCAGAAATATGCAATATTATGTATAATAAGTCACGAAACTATATATTACAAATATTTTAGGAGCTCAATTTATACTTTTCCCTCAGAATTAAATTATTTTATTGAGAATATGGATTTTATTTTGACTCGAAATTGAAAATAATAAAAGTCGGAAAAAAATCCATCCATTGTTTTCCGACACAACATGTGTTAACAAATAAATAATATTTATAATTTAAAAAAAATGTCTTTAATTACAATTCCAATCTAGAACGTTAACAAAGTAAAGTGTAGTGCTGGAGAATGAGTGTTGTGCAATTTGTGACTATAAGTTATTACGGAGAAGGCGTTTGGCGTTTTGTAGTATTATTAAAACTATTTTTTTGGTTTATTATCTTTATTAGGAGTATAGTTTCATTTGATTTATTTATTGATTTTTGTGTTTCTTTTGAGGTTACTACGGCAATGCCTAAACGAAAGAAAAGAATACAGTCTACTGAAAGTGACTCTTCACTAAGTACAAGTCACTCTCGTCGTCGCATGCATACTAAGAGTGTCAAGAGTAGCAAGCGCCACTGAATAAGGCACTGTAGCCACAGCAGTGCCAGGCGTTCAAGGCATCACAGTAGCGTCGAAACGAGGCAGTCGCGACGTCCGCGGAGTGTGAGGTCCTAGATTCCTGTCTTGCCCCAGGTATCCGCGGGTGTGGCGCATACGGCTTGTATAGCGCAGAGTGCTGCTTCACTAGGCGTGACTCCAGTTGTTACAGATTTCACAAGTGAATCAAGGTATGCTGATACTCAGCGGTTATTTTACGAAGAGTTTTTAATGTAATGCAAATTATTAAGGACAAAAGGACTGTAGAACGTGACAAATTCCCAGTTCTTAATAATGTTGTACCCAAATTTGATCCACTATGTAAAGAACCAATAGTCGATTCATGACTAAGAGAATGTGCTCAAATATATAGTTGGGACGAGAAATAAATCGTTCACTATGCTTTGCCAAAACTTACGGGCATAGCGAAGTCATGGTATAAGAGGTTGCCATCGCTTTTGTTATCATGGGCTGACTGGAAATTTAAGCTCCAAGAACTTTCCCATTGCGAGAAAACTATGCCGAACTTCTTACCGAAATGTAAGGCAAGTAAGTTCGATACGGCAAATTGCTGGAATTTATTACGCCAAAATGAACCTTCTAAATCGTAGTGACGAAGTCACACCACGTTTAAACTGCCAGGTTGAGCGATATAATCACACAATTTTTGTCGCACTTGGGGCTATGAGTTGTGATGAGCCAAACAATTAATTAATTTAAAATAGTAATAAAAATAACAAAAATAAATTTAAGAATAAAAAAAATTAATTGTTGCATTCCGCACTGAATTAAATAATTATTTTATTGAGAATATGGATTTTATTTTGACTCGAAATTGAAGATAATAAAAGTTGGAAAATAATCCATCTGTTGTCTTAATACCGAGCAAGGAAGGTGTGTTAACAAAAAAAAATATTTATAATAAAAAAATGTATTTAATTACAATTCCAATCTAGAACATTAACAAAATAAAGTGCAGTGCTGGAGAATAAGTGTTGTGCAATTTGTGACTATAAGTTGTTACGGAGAAGGCGTTAACACTTACTAGTGGCAGCCATTAGTTGAGGCAAATATTTTTGCCAGAAAGCACATTGCTTTACTCGTAAACCGTGGCCGACAGCACTGGAGTTAACTGCTAAGGACAAATATTCTCGACCAAACGCCGTATGAACGGGCCAATGTACTTTGGTCATGTCACCTTCAGCATTCATTGATGGATTCCTGAAATAAAATGATAAGTTTTGTGATAAAGAGTAATAAATAAAATATACTTGTAATGCTATGAAAACAGTTATTAATTTTATATTTTTTTTTTCATTGATACATACCCTGATCTAGCAAAGTTAGCCCAATATTTCATAAGTCGCCGGCTAAACTCTACTTCTTCAGGAGAGTAATTTTTTCCTGGATTAAGGGGTTCGCCGAAGACATAGTTAATCTCATCTGCATGCATTACACCAGTCCAGGACGGCCAAGGATTATTCTTACTACGATGTTTATAATAATAAGTGTAAACGTTGTTACCGGTCTCGGCATAGCGATGAGCGAATTCGTTAACACCACATGTAAAGTGATAGTCTCCAACCATTTTATCTAAGGCATTTCTATTTTTTATTGGATCATCTGGGTTAAGCCAATCTGTATATTCATACACTATCGCCTGCCTGGCCACATCATTTACGTATGGGTTGAGCTCTCTGACTGCTTGTAGATACTGTTCTCTTGAAATACCAACATTTTCTTCTTTTGGAAATAGTTCAGTTAAATAGTAGAGAATAAAGTAGTAACCTTCTTCTGTATTTGAACCCATAAGAATATTTGTCTTCTTAAAATTTTGGTGTATCAAAGATTTTCTAGGCATTTCATCCAAAAATGAACCATCAATAATAGGTACGAAAGGAAATTCGCAGATACCTAAAGTTCCCCATTCGTTGTTTACAAGTTCATCTGCGCTTTTTTTTCTTAAGCAATCAATCATAGGACCCAAATCTGATCTTGAACTAGGACATCGGACTGCTTCAGCCAATCTCATACCTCTCAAAATACTTTCTTCCCGTGATATAATAGCCCAGGGAGCTGTAGCTGCCCCAGATTGCATAATGGCTTGAGAGAATAAATTCCTAGAAAGAGGTGATAATAAATGTAAAGAGACTGAAACAGCGCCAGCAGATTCTCCAAATAACGTTATGTTATGAGGATTGCCACCAAAATAGCCAATATTATCTTTTACCCAATGTAAAGCCATCAACTGATCAAATAAACCAGCATTTCCAGGAACATCTGGAGTATCAAAAAATAGGAATCCAAGCGATGCAACTCGATATTGCATTGAGACATATACGATATTCTCCTCTGACACAAGAATTTTTGGATCATACACATCTAATGTAGCCGTGCCTGAGTAAAATCCCCCACCAAACACCCACAGCATGACTGCTGCATTCTTTGGACGTGGTTTTGGTGTCACAATATTTATGTATAGACAATCTTCCTGCATATCCGTATTAGGATTCCACATCATTGCTCCTGGGAAATCTCCGAATACGGTATCTATGATTTGGACGCACGAGTGTGGCAGTGTTGTTGTATTAAGAATTTCATCACCCCAATTTTCCACTGGTCTTGGATGTCTGAATCTAAGATCACCCAATGGTTTTTGAGCATATGGGATCCCGAACCACGCATCGACTTGTTTTCCAGTCGCCGCCGTGAGAGTTAAGCCTCTAACTCTCCCCTTTCGCGTACGGACAATTAGCGGATCATCAGCTTCAGGTCCCAGCTGGGGCTCATCAGCCATGAGTTCATCAATCCGTTCATGATTTGAATAGAACCTTTCTTCGCTGGCTCTTTTGGAGGAGGATTCGGGATCCTCAAATTTAGCGCGTTTCGAGGATGTTTCGTGTTCATCAAGGCGCGGAAGGATTGTGTCTAATTCGGGGTTATATCTGACAGCCTCTCCGTGTCCGCGGTAGGGTTGAGGCGGTACAGGGGCAGGGAAATGAGGAACATGGTCAGGCGCATGGTGTCTCGCGCGATGCTCGTGAGGGGTGGCAAGCGCACGCGCCAGCAGCGCGGCGAGCGCTGCAACCAGCACGCGCATACCGCTGCTACACGCTCCCGCACTCACCACCTGCAATATTGCGTTAAAGCTAATTATAATACTTTAGAATATATGTATATATAGGTATTTAAAATTTATTTAAAAAAGCATACTAAAATTATATTCATTATCGTTAGAATGTACAAAAATGTGAAAAAAATGATAGTAACAACGATTTAAACGACGAAAGTAGAAAAGTGCCTATTTTGTATTAAAAAAAAAACAATATTTTTGTCTTGTGTGTTGTATGAAGATGCAGTGTTAAATTAAACTAAATACGACTTAAAACGTTAAAAACGAAAAATAAAACTGACTGTAATGTATAGAAATAATCAAAACTAAAAATGTGCCCAATTTTGAAATTTTCCTTAGTAGCAATTTAAGTTTTACTTTATCCATCCTGACTCAATCATTAGATCCACTCTACGATATATATTTATATATATATATATTACATCCAGATTTCACGTACCCACATATAAAGTGACAAACTGTTACAATAGAAGTAGATTAAAATTTCCTTCCATGACTTGATAACAAACGTGTTTGTTATAAAAAGTAAGTACTTTGTTGTTTGTCGAAGCCAGTTCAGGCCACGATTAAAATGATTAAATTGATAGATTAAAATGATTTTTTTCAAATACAGAGTCCCTATTATTTACTACTATCAGAACAATCTGATCAAAAATCTGATGTTTGCTGAATTCTATTGATAAGAAATATTTAGATTCGTGTAATCTACATTCTTGTACGATTTAAATAATTAGCCTAATAAATAATATTATTGTTTATTATATTTTTTTTTCAAGATAACATCTTAGATCAGCCGATAGATGTCTGGTTTAACTTTGTGAGGTTACAACAATGAAATTTTTTGCTAAAAAAATGGGACATGGCCATTGGCTTTGCCTTTGGGTTCACTTGCCTTATAAAATATGTTCATACTGATCGTTTTCTATTCTATTTCAGTCTAGTTAATGTCTTCTCTCTATCATTTTTTTTCGGTATACTTAATGTTATAAATAAATGTTAATTAGTATGTGATCTTTTTAAAAAGAACTATAAACTTTGTAACCGACCGGTTTCGATCCCGGACACCTATGACTGTCAATTTTGCGCCTTGGCCACTTGACCATGACGCTTATTCCCGGGCGTGCGAAATTATCAACGATATTTTGCGTGGCATAATGGGAAGGAAAACCGCATTAAAACCCGAAAACACGCGTTTTTCCAGACAGAAGACTAATCTAAATCGACTTTTCGCCCCAGAAAACCCCCACGTGCCAAATTTCAGCGAAATCGTTAGAGCCGTTTTCAAGATCACCGATATAAATAAATAAATAAATATACAAGAATTGCTGGTTTAAAGGTATTAGATTAGATAACAATCTATGTCAGTTATAAATTAAATTGAAATTGATTAGAAACTGTATAGTTGTGGCAATAACATATGAAGAAGAAAAATCCACATTATAACATTTTATTCTTTTTATACTTTCTCACTTAAGAGATATTATACTTAAGATTTGCAATTTATAGACTCATCTTTCAATAGTGTATCTAAATTGCTATTTTCCTCGGAATTCTATATTAAGATTATAATCGATCTATGATAGGAAATATATGATAGGAGTGAAAGAGAGGTAGCATTTATTAAATATATTAGTGATATATAAGAATTAATATAAAAATAGTGCAATACAAACAATAATATGATAATATTAAATAGGAAAGATTTCATAGTTTAAAAATCTATATGTAAATAGGCATAACGGTTACGTACAATTTTCTCCTCTGTCAATCGAAGTTTCTTTTTTTAGTAGCTATTAACGAGCTTCAGTGTTATCCATTAAAAAATATATTATGATTGATTTACGACCATTGGCCGAACACTTGTTTAATAATTAGTATTGCTCTCATTATTATTCCTTCCTATCCATCACAGAACTTACACATTGCAATAGTAATTAAAAATTTAAAAAACCCCCTACGTAAATTGTCATTTAACGATTACACTGGCACGCGTGAAGCACTTAATTGAGTAATCATACGCGTTACACCATTTTGGAAAAGAGCTGATACTCTTTCACTGCTGGACTAATATTAATTAAACATAGCAAAGAACCACCGCAAGGAAAATGGCTTTCAAATGAAAAAAAACTGCATGCGATATCGGTCCATCCGTTTGAGAGCTACGATGCCACAGACAGACACACATACACAGACATCGACGTCAAACTTATAACACCCCTCTTTTTGCGTCGGGGGTTTAAAAGTATACCAATAAATGAGATATACAAAATTCGAATTATTTACTGCAAAACCTACGTACTTAGTGAGTTAGGTTTAAGCTGCAATTAAGATGGATGAAGTCATGGCATAGCAATTACATTTTAAAATCAGAATTCTAAATAAAATCTACTCGAAAGAAAGAATTAAAAATCGTAAGAACATCAAATATTCGGGCCATACTCCATTATGAAACTGAAATGGTCAACATTTTAGGGATTATTTTGGTTCCTACTTCATATTTGCATATTTTAATGTCTTCTCCATTAAGTAATTTGTGCCAAACTGGCACGTTTTAAAGCTATTAACAAGAAAATTGAATTGAAATTTCTTTCAAAAAGTATTTATGTAGGTACAAAGTGGAACGTCAACAAGCTTCAGGTGACATCAGCGAGACAATGTTGTTTCCGCTTGTTACTCCATTACCGGCCACAGGAAGGCTTTTGTGCTCCCTACAACGTTTAATTGCATATTCAGACTGAATTTCTATAAATTGTTAATTGACTACATTTTCTTGTACATTTATGTGACGATTCAGAATTTATTCACTACTTTATTTTAACCAATGTCTTTTAAACATTTTTAAAATTATTATTATTTCTACTAGGTTAATAATACCTATTATATTTTTTTCTAGCGCTTCCTTGCGGCTCTGTGTAATTTTTCAGCCCCCGATGAAAAAAGAGGTATTATAAGTTTGACGTATCTGTTTGTAGGTATGTCTGAGTGTTTGTATGAATGTGTATCTGTGTGTCTGTCTGTAGCATCGTAGCTCCTAAGCGAATGGACAGATTTTGATGCGGTATTTTTGTTTGAAAGCTAACTTGATCGACATAGTTCTTAACTATAGTTTCCTACTTAACAAAAGGGTTTCACAGATTTTCATAGATCTCATCAGACTTTCAGAAAATCAGAAATCAGATTTGAAATTTGGTGGACTGTTACTTCGATGGTATTTCCAAGACATGCCAACCTTGAGCTGATGCTGTAGCATTAAATAGTCTGCGGGATGCTCAATTCCTCAGAAACTTACGGCATATATACCGTATTTGGACTCATAAGAATAGTTTCAATGAGAGTAATCTATTCGAATTAGTATTTTCGAGTACTCATCGTTCATTTAAAAATCTTTGTGCACATTTCTTCAAGATTCATTGAGATGTTGAGTTATCAAAAACTTACACTTAATTAATTATTTCTTAAAAGATTAGGCGTGAATTTTGCGGCGAACACTAGTTTAATTAAGTACCTAAAAATAAAGTACAATAAGATAAACAGCTCGCACTCGAACGTGAACAAAGTGAGGGCAGATCTCTATTATGATAATTTGACATAAAAAAATATTGTATATAAACCAGATAATGTACTAAACAGTAATTCATGTCACTCTACTGCTGATAAACTATTTACTTTCCTTATAACAAATGAGAAATATGTGAGAGAGAGAAACATTAACAAACAGACATTTCAATTTTATATTTGTTTCTTTGTAACCGAAACTACAAAGCCGATTTAGATGAAACTTAATAAAAAGATATTTTGAGGCCCTGGGAAGAATAAAGGACAGCTTTTATCTCGGAAATCAACCCTTAAGGGAGTGTAAATGGGGATGAAATTTTGTATGGGGAAGCAACTTAGGGACGAACCCGAGCGAAGCGAGAGTGAGTCGTTAGTATATTAATAAATTAGTTTCGCACATTCTTGCCAAAAATTGAAAAAAAAGCTATTAAAATTTATTTTGAACAAAAAATACATAAAATGTAAAAGTTTAAAGACTTCCCTGTTGATCAAACCACCCACATCTCCGATCTCTAAGATTGAGAACATGTGGGTCTTCTTAGTACAAACACTGTCGTTAAACGTATCCCAGCTTAGGGCTATGTAAGGTATTAAGGCAAAAAGCCAAGATTACTTTGCCAAATGACATTGCACTTAAAAGCAAAATGCACCATATCGCTACGTGTCATCTTGTTACGGTTTTATTTCTAGATAAACTTGAAGAGTCGACCTCGTTTGATCCAGAATTTAATATACAGTTAAACCTTGATTTAAAGGATATCAACATTTATTATCTATGCTTAGAACTATGCATTTTGAACCTATCCCAAAAGAAGTCCGACAGTATCTTTTAAGAACTTTTTAGTTAATATGATAAAAGTAAAAAGCTGGATTTTTTGTGTTTTATTACATTCTACGTATACAAGTTTTACTAAACGAGGGATGAGTATTCCTTTTATCTTTACAACTTGTCATATTATAACTTAGAAACTAGCTTTTGTATAGGATGCGTGAGGAGGTGTGTTTTATGGAATAAAATTGAATTTCCATATAGAAATAATATAGAAAGCGCACTTTATTTATAAAAATCAACATTTATTTAGTTTTTGATAGAATCCCGTTAATATTTTAGATGCGATAATTCGGATGGATGTTTTTCACTCAATCACGCCAGAACGGCTAAACAGATCTGGATGAAATTTGGCACAGAGATAGATAGATTACAATCATTTATAACTTTAAAATTATTTTATTTTGTATTTTTCAAACATTAATTCTCTTTACCTTGAAAGAGAGATAGCATAATATTAGCTGATCTATTTATTTTTTTTACATTTAAGTATTTACTTTTTGCAGTAATGAATATTCTATTAGTATTAGTATTCTAATATAAAACACTATATATTACTAGCAGAAACCGCGGCGTCACTCGC